TGTGTGTGTGAGTGTGTGTGTGTGTTTGACATCATTCTACCTCATATTTCAATATACAGCTATGGTAAAATTAAGAGACCACTTGAGGGTTCTCATTTTCTCAGGAATTACGATTTGTGGTTATGTGTTTGAGCAGAACATGATTTTTAATTTGTTCTGTAGACTACTGGTAACATTTCTTCCAAGTTTTAAGTGGGAATGTTCACCTTTAGAACATTTTTTGCATAAAAACTCTTGCTCTTGACGACAATATTTTTATTTGAATTTTTGAAGAAATGTTATAAGACTTAGAATAGAACAAATATTAGCATTTGTCTTCAAACCTACACCTAGTAAATCCAGTAGATCCAGAGAAACTCAAGTGGTTTCTTTTCCATAGCTGTGTATTACTGTGTTGTACTTTTGTACTGTTGATTATCATTCAGATTTTTGTCTGAGGCACTGCCTCTCTTACCAGCTTGGAAAAAAACACCCCTGACACATACCATACTACGGTAGAGATAACCTATTCTTTCTGCAACATTTCTGGAGAGCTGGAAGATTCGAGATACAGTGGTGGGAGGTGAATGTATATGTGTGAGAGAGAGACAGAACTGAGTGGAAAAATAAATCGAAAGAGAGACAGTGTGGGTGGGACAGACAGAGGGGATGGAGGAAGGATGCTACCACAAAATATCTCCTTTCCATCTAGGCCCTGGCATATTCAGACCAAATACACACAGACGCTGCCTTTCCTCTGGTTATAGAAGCTGAATATAAAACAGTCAAGAGTCTGAGCTTTGTCCCAGGTGTGTGTGTGTGTGTGTGTGTGTGTGTGTGTCTGTACAGGCTCTGCTTGGTCTGTTGAGCCACAAACAAACACATACACACTGAGACTGAAAATGCATACACACAAACACGGACTAATGAATGTGTGAAGGAACTCAAAATAACAGTTTCACTAAAAATAAAAACTTATGAAGCCCAGCCATCTCTCACCTAAAAGAGGACTATCATACAGCAAAAACAGTATTTTTAATCACTGTATTTGTAAAACATTCTTAGACTGTCTAAATACATCTGTACATTTTATCTACAAAATCATTCCAAATTTAAAAAAAAAGTGATTTCAACTTTTTTTTTTTGCAATATAAGTATATTTATAGTTTTATCAATTTTATCAGAAAATAATAAGATCAAAGTAAGTGAGCAAATAATTGAATTCACTATTTTTATTTTAACTAGTAGCTAAAATAAATAAAACAAATGGCAGTTTTATAAGTTTTATATGTGACCCTGGACCACAAAACCAGTCATAAGGGTCAATTTTTCGAAATTGAGATTTACACATCATCTGAAAGCTGAGTAAATAAGCTTTCCATTGATGTGTGGTTTGTTAGGATAGGACAATATTTGACAGATATACAACTATTTGAAAATCTGGAATCTGAGGGTGCAAAAAATATTGAGAAAATCGCCTTTAAAGTTGTCCAAATGAAGTTCTTAGCAATGCATATTACTAATCAAAATTTAAGTTTTGATATATTTACAGTAGGAAATTTACAAAATATCTTCATGGAACATGATCTTTACTTAATATCCTAATGATTTTTGGCATAAAAGAAAAATCAATAATTTTGACCCATACTATTTTTGGCTATTGCTACAAATATACCCCAGCGACTTAAGACTGGTTTTGTGGTCCAGGGTCACATATGTGTGTTTTAATGTTTAGCAAAATTACATTTTGGAATTTCCCAAACAGATTTTTGAGGTCGAATGACAAGCAATAATCTTAAATTTAGATATATTATTATTTCACATGATGCTACTAATAGATCATGGTGCTACTAACGCAGAGGTCATGGTTTGATTCCCAGGGAACGCAAATACAGGAAAATAAAGCACATTTTGAATGCACTTTCAAGTCATTTTGGATAAAAGCATCTGCCATCCAAGTGGTCTTAAAATAGAAGTACAAAAAATACCATGTTCATTTCAGAAATAACTTGCTGATGACTGCTGAAAAGTCTGTTTAAAATGACCAACTAATTTCAAGATGTTTATTATTTATTTATTGTAGTTTGCCTTGTTTCGTCGAAATATTTTATCTTTCACATTTTTTTTAGGAATAAACCTCACTAAATATATTTAAAAGTATACAAAATAATCAATATATTCCTTATTTCCTAACATCTATAATGCACAATATGTTGATTAAAATGAAATATACGCAAAGAGAAAAGTGCTCTAAGTGCTTAACCAACCAAAGATCAACATTCAAAACAAGCCAAGATGCACTTAAAATTAATTCAAGAAGAAAAGTCTCCATAAATAGCCAAATATTCTCGTGAACGCAGACCGAACTAATCGTTTTGACTCTAAGGAGCACGATCTACAAGGCAGCTTAGTGTAAGAGATCCCTGTGGTCTTGACTGTGGGCAACACTCTGGGGAGGAAATGGTAATATCAGCTTCCTCTGTAGGATCCCTCCAGGCCCACTCTGGAGGACAAGAGGGTTTGTGGCAGCAAAAGCTCTGGGTTAAGGGATCATCTAAGCCTCTTGAGGCTTCATCCTGGATTATTTCAACTGCCTCTTGGAGCTCCATGGGAATAGGCTCTTAGCATAAGGTTGAGCAGGACCCAGAAAGAGGGAAAAAAACATGAAACACACTTCATTTATGAGAAACTGTAGCTGGATGACAGCTGCTCCGCTCTCGTGCTGACAGTAACACTCCACACCAGGTCGGCCGAATCTGAAAGGGTTCTGAGTCAAGGAGAGAATCAGGAAATCAAGGCTAACAAGATCGTGACACTTTTGGGTCTGAATGTGCCACTTATTGTTTCAGCATTTTATCATAATTTTTTAATTAAAGGCACTGTTCCAGTAAACGCATGTCAGTCATTGTTCACCCTCTGTGGACATACAAGCTAATTACCTCTGCCAATCTCTCTGGCATGGCTGCTAGTGATGAAGTCTGTCAGTCACTGTCAAATCTGCTCAATGAAAGCCGGTAATAAAACACAACAGCCCACTTTATAAACATTGTTGTTTGGACAACATTTCCAATGTCATAGACAGTCTCTCCCCGTCTGAAGAGTCTGAAAAGACTCAAAAAAGTCAAAGGTCACGATTTACTAGAACCCAAATAAAGTGTACTAATACTAATGCTTCACTCTCATTTGTGGCTAAATATGGAAATATATATTGATAAAAGTATGATATTACATATTTATATAAATAAGGTATATAATAATAATAACAATAATAATATACAGCCTAATATACAAGTATGTTATCATGTCATTTTTTGTTTGTTTGTGGATTCTAATTCATAGTTAAGAAAAAAAAAACACTTATAGGGAGGTCAATTACTGTAAAAAAGCAATCATTAACATCATAAATCATTAATAATAAAAAACTGAATCACATAAACATATTTTATGCATCATGTATATTCAAGCATCCTCTATTTTCATAAAAAAGACTCATTGAGTTAATAATAATGACTTCAAAAACGTTCTGTTAATTAAATGGCAAATAGTTGGTGAAGACTATGTAATTTCTCAGCAGGCTCATTGGACGCCTGGCACGTGGTGTGTGAATGTGTGTGTCTGTGTTTGCGCTGTAGAGATATAATTTGATGATAACCTCTACTGGGAACCTGGGAACTGCACACACTCATATTTCCACAGCATGGAGAGACAGAGAGTGAGAAAGAGAAAGGAAGGGAGGCGAGAGCAAGATGCGTATATGCGTATGCAATCAGGGTGGTGGAAAGAGGGAGGGAAGAACAATTAAAATAGATTAAAAGAGTGATCACTAGAGCTCGAACCGTTGGCACAGAGACAAGATGCAAACAGCAATAATCAAGCATCCATAAAAAGACGTGCAATGGAGTCTCATACTCGGAAGGATTATGAACACAGATACATGTCTGATGTTTATATGAGAGTATTATGAGAGAAATGTTAATTATTAATATTATATATTTAAATAATAAATATAAATAGTACATTTTATAATCAATATATTGAAATGACACTTTTTTTTAGCTGCATTTTAAGGTTGCACTGTACTAGAGTGCAGACAGAGCAGCCTTCATCCATCACCTAGAGGAAGCCTGTACAGTCATTCAGTGGCTCATCCCGTCTATCCATCACAGGTACTTTGAAGTGACAGGGATGGAAGATACTGGAAGAAATTGTGTATGTCGATAAGGACATGCCTTGAATCCTCATACAACCTCCGGCCACCTGTAGCCGTCCACTTTGGACCCTCATCATGTAATGAGGAAAACACACACACACAATGGCCATCTGATATGGTGAGGTCAGGGACATCGGTATGGGTCCAAAAAAAAGAAAAGAAAAAAAAGTCAAAGATACAAAATATTAGCAAAAATACTAATAAGAGTGAGGAAAGAGAGAGGGATCAGATGAGTACATCACTGCGTGAATGACAGCACAGATCTGAAAAAATGCCAAAAATTCCCTGACACCACAAACATGTTGACGAGAGGGCAAAGCAGTAGAGAGAGCGTGGAGGGAATGCCAGGAAGAGGAAGACACTGCTGACTCTATGCCCATATGCAATAAAGTCCAATGGGCTGTTCATAGCTATAAAGAAAACACCAATTAAATCTTTTCATAAACAGCAATGAGCAGCCTAAGATGTTGCCATCCATTACTAGACAGTAACCATGCATTTAATGTATTTATTATGGCTCTGTTACAAAACCTAGTGAGCTGCCTACTAAGGCAGCATTTTAAGGCATGATAGACAAAGCTGTTCCACAAGATTATACCACCTTCTATACCACAATTCAAAAGCCTTGGCATACTGGTATCTTTTATAATGCCTAGTAACTTATATTTCACTCACTACTGAAAAGTATTGATAAAAACAGTTCAGGGTAATTAAAAATTTATCTCTTTGTATTTATCTTACCAACATGCTAACCTCAAAATCTATTTAAGTCAATTGTGAAACGAGCCTCATATTTAATTCTGTACGAATGCTATCTTAGAAGGCAGCTTACTAGGTTTTGTGTGGCTATATCAAAGACATTAAGTCAGTCAACAAAAAGTAGGCTAAAGGAGGGACAGAGAAAAAAGCAGGAAGAAAAAGAAAGCTGCCTACAGGGTCAAGTGACGTTTATTCTGCTCTGACGTCAAGAATGTCCAGTCATGCTTTACCCTAAGAGAGACAAGACAACACTCAAACACATGAATATGCACACAGAGAGCTAACACGTTACAGTGAGCTTCAGTGATGCTACCAACTTCGTGTGAAACACAAGCATACTCTCTCTTTCTCACCCATGCTCCTGGGAATGATTCATTTGTCTAATACGCTTTCTAAATAAATAAACTCCAGAGGCACATTTGATTTATTGGGGACCCAAACAATTAAAGTTGCAAGCACTGTGGCTGTCGCTGCAACAAACTGCCTTCACCTTGAGCACGCTTCAGTGCTCATACGCTCTCAAACAAGCCACTCTGCAGATACACTTGACACGCAGTGTGCTCTATTAAAACATCCTATACTCAGCACAACCGTAATCAGCTAACATGCAACTGGGGATGATTCATTTTAATACACTTACTAATGTTTCGCTGCTTTTCCAGAGCTGCCCTGTCTTGGGAAATTTGCATACAGGGCCATTTTTTTTCTCCACAGTCTTGGCTTCCTTCCATGTGATATTTCTGCAGATCTTATGTGTTAAATCAAGCATGATGGCTTACGCTTTACAGTCATGATTTTCACATAACATTTCAACGTTTATGAAAAAGATTCACACTATGTGGCAAAAATTAACTGACTAAGAGACCAACACAACTGTAAATCACACATTCTTTGTGTCTATGCAAAAGACAAACAGACAAAACAAATCACTGACAGACAGAATGATAGATAGAATGACAGACAGATAGAACCATAGAATGATAGATAGAAGGTGACAGAAGACAGATAAAAAAAAGATAGAATGATAGAATTATAGGTATATAGACAGATGGACAAACACATAAATGGACAGACAGATGAAGGACAGAACTACTGTACAGACAGATGGACTGATAGACAGACATACAGACAGACAGTCAACAGAGGGACATACACATAACTAAACAGACAAACGATAAACAGCTATTTTTGTTTATGTGATCATCTCATGAAGAAACATTTAAACAGTACAAAGTATACAGGAGGACTCACAAATGAAAGAAAGTGCTGTGTGCATCATTAAAAGCCTCTCTCCCTGTAGGTGGGTGTGATTGATTCCTAGAGATAGGTCAGAGAGTATTAATGACCCTGTTCTTCAAGTTAAATTTAGATCTAGCGTTCATCACTCACAGAGGATGATGTAGACCCTCTAAAACACACACACACACACACACAAATACAAGAGCTAAGAAACTGCAAAGGCAAGAGAACAGTGAAGAGTGGGACAGGAGAAATGAAAAGTTAGTAGATTCCCTTGTAACCAGAGGTCAAAAGAGAAAATATATAGTGCAAAGTAGAAGCAGGACACATTTTAAACTTTCATAAGGGCATTCCAAAATTTGAAAGTGAAACCTTCTTAGTTGTTTGCCAATGAGTTATATAAGCTGAATCAGTTAATTAAAGTCTCTATCATTTTTTTTAAACAAATCATATTAACTACCATTTGCAAAGATAATGCCTGTTCAAATCTCAAAACTAGGTTATACAGCTTTAGGACTTTGCTATAGTAAATTTAGATCTAGCGTTCATCACTCACAGAGAATGATGTAGACCCTCTAAAACACACACACACACACACAAATACAAGAGCTAAGAAACTGCAAAGGCAAGAGAACAGTGAAGAGTGGGACAGGAGAAATGAAAAGTTAGTAGATTCCCTTGTAACCAGAGGTCAAAAGAGAAAATATATAGTGCAAAGTAGAAGCAGGACACATTTTAAACTTTCATAAGGGCATTCCAAAATTTGAAAGTGAAACCTTCTTAGTTGTTTGCCAATGATATATATAAGCTGAATCCGTTAATTAAAGTGCCTATAAATTTTTTTAACATCATATTAACTACTAATTGCAAAGATTATACCTCAATTTAAACCTCAAAACTAAGTTATGTAGCTTTAAGACTTTGCTATTGGACGCTGATGCAGCTCAAAGTGTTTTATCTCATTCATGTGAGTCTGTAAAATGTCATCTCACTGTATCGCTCATATAAAATGTGCTTTGTGTTTAAGATGACTAGATGAAGACATAATCGATGTGTCTGAAAGAGAGAGAAGCACACTGAGTATTGTGAACGAAACAGGATATTGCTACCCATGGGGAGCAACAAAAGACACTCTAAACATCAAATCAATCAACATTTATACATTCGGTGAGACTGTGAACTGCTTATGATGCTGTGTCTGATACCTTATAAGAAGTCTCAAATTCACACAAGTCATTATGGCTGTTGAATAAATGTTTTGATACAAGGTGTCCTATTAAATCGCATGGCCCCATGAGGGAAGAATAGACCAGTGAATGCAATGCATTAGTCCAGTACACTTCAGGTTTTCCTAGAAAAAAGCAGAAACGAAACACACATAAGCTCATTTGCATTTAATGTAAGGAGGAGTGAAAAGAGGGTTATGTAAGTAGATAATAGTAGATATTGAGATTTGCTAATATTTTACACACCCCAAATGTCATTCACTGTTCAGGATATATGTTATACAGTACACTGAAGCAAATAAAGGAGTCCAATATTTTAAAA